CAACGAATATACATATTCCAAGCCGAACATGCATACACATATTCTCCTCCACATCCACATCCACATCCACCCATCCGTCCCGTCCGTCCAATCCATCCAATCGGTTCTGCTGGCATTAACATTAACCCAAACGACGCGTCGTTAATGGAATCAAAGCAGAGACGAACGAGCCCGCCACGAACGAATCGCGTCACAGTCACACGACCCGTCAGCCGACCGTCTGTCCCTCCGTTTTGACAGCCCCCGTATCCACTCGGTCTCCTCCCCTCCTCACTGTCGCTCCTCACTCTCCACTCGTCTTGCCCCGCTTGTCTTGTGCGTAGTCAGAGTGCGGCGGCAGTGTCGGCGATTCATTCAGTTTTTAGATTCGAGAGTCTTATTAAATAGTTGTAGTAAATTCTGACAAGAGACCCTAATAAAGATCAAGATATACATAAGTACCAACATATACATATGTGTCTGCGTGTCTGTGTCTGTGTGTGTGTGTGAGATCGAGAACTTTTGAATGAATTTCAAGATTGGCAAGAACCACCCAGACCAGATCGGACACGGTTATTTCTAGTTAGATCTGAGTCGGTCACATATGTATGCACTATTAGGAAGTTCATTCAGATCCAATCTAGAGAATTGAGCATAGTCTTCCTTCTGCTCGAACGAGTTCTTCTCGGGTCTGGCATTGGCACACAGACACGACCCACACTCCGCACACTCCCCCAGAGATAACAGCAACTACGCATTGCACGCAAGAGAGATGGCGGGAGGGAGCCACATTTGTGGTGTATGGTGTGTGGTGTGTGGTGTGCGGTGTGCGGTGTGTGGCGTGGAGCAGTATGTCGCCATGTCATAATCTTTGCGGACGATGCGATGACAGGTTATCTGACGCACACACACACACACACACACACACACACACGCACCGGACTATTGGTCGCGTCTATTGATATTTCCACTGCGTAGATAGATGAAACGAAACACGAAACACGCCCTGCCCCACATTCCGCAATCTGTACGCTTTGCCCCGCTCGCTTCGGTTTTGCATCGATAAGATCAAAGAATGTGCTATAGATTACCAGCTTACCCCCCACATACCATACCATACCATACCATATCATTCAAGACGCGATATAACACAATTATCAACTTTGATTCTCTATATTCTCCCCGCTCCCGTAGGTCACATCGCCTTTAGCGCCCTGGACGACACCTCGCACTCGGTGCATGTGTACAGCATCAATGGATCCAGTCTCGGATCGAAGTACGTTTCGGGACGGGTTACGGGACTGGCCTGTGCCTCCGATTACCTGGTTGTGGCCGATGATGCCGGCGACATAACCATGAGCAGATTGCATGGGTAAGCCAAAAAACAACGATATTATACCCATATTCCCAAGGGTCTAATAGCTCTAGAAGTGGCATATACATATAAGTTATCTTTCATCGTGTCATGCTATCCAGTTTGAGCCCGAGTCGAGCTGTTGTTCTTTTCACTATTCTCGAGCATTCTGTTAGGCAGCCGAGCCTAGCAATCGGCTTACTCTAACAGCAGACAGCTTTGAATAGTTTCATTGCCCCCAGCTTTAATAGTGCCATAGCGATGAGCCTTAATGGTGTCATAGACCCCAGCTACAATAGTGTCATAGTAATCGGATGGGCACCGACTTTCGTTGAGACTGAGAGATGCAGACAGATAAAGTTCTAGACTAAATTTATTATACCTTCTCCAAGGCTAAAATGAAACCATTTAGATTTTTTAAATAAAAACTATTTCAAATTGCGGCTCTTCTGAGAAATATTTTACAAAAATACATACAACGAAGACCATTTCTGAGAATTGAAAAGAACGACGCTATAACGCCATGGTCAATCTTTCGACTGTAAAATACCCGCTACTCAGATATATTCATTTGGCTTGTTTAAAGGAAAACTCCCACAGTGAAATCTTCCGATCTCCGTCGAAATTTAAACGCTATACTATAATCTACGAATCCAACACCGTCTAGACTTAGATGCTCATTGCTTATTGTTTTCTTTCTCGACAACAGGTTGAAGCCCGTGTTCGACATTCCCCTGCATGTGCCCATCCAGACGGTGGTGGTCACACCGGGTAACACCCACATCCTGGCACCGCTACGCGATGGACGCCTGGCAGTGATCGCCGTACAGCTACCATCCGGCGGAAACAAGAAGCATTCCGTGCTCAACGTCTAACGTAAGAAGGAGGAGGAGCACAATCTTATGAACCACCCCCAAAGCACTTCGTTTGGGGCTCTACGAAATTCCAGAACTTTGCTCTTAACCTAGATTAATTTGTCGCCGTCTTCTTTTTGTGACTCTGCAGTTTTCCGTTTCCACTTTGATTCCAACTAACCCTAGGCTTAATAAGTGTATCGTATATTGTGATTTGAGTGATTGTCTGAATTTCCTTGCTGTTTTGTACGTGATGTGCCAAAAACACACTGATAACTGACAAATGTGTCCTCAGAAATTCCCCATCAGTTGACTAGAGTTAAGCACAAGTAATCGATCGATTGCATTCCCGGAATTCCCACTGACACACGCGTTTCTTTTAGCAATATTCTTCGCCACCTGTATTTCTGTATGTTATATGTTAGCAGACAGGTGTCTGTCCGTCGCGTCGCGTCAAATCGATTCGGAGACGTGCCTTGTGCTGTCCGGCTGCGTCCTGGGAGCCACTAGGGCCCCGTGATCGATGGCACACTCTTCAATTAGCGTTGACGAAAATCTGAATAAATCATCAATCATTCGGCTAGCCCCTCGCATGAATGTCGTGGGTCCGGGCCAGGCACGGCGAGATCTGAATGTGGAGGAAGACGGAGACGGAGACGGAGATGGAGATGGAGAGGGATCTGAGGGAGCTGGCGAGCGAAACTGGTTGTCGGCAAAGGCGGCGCACTTGGCAAACTACTCAATGACTCACGAGCGACTTTCAAATTGGCCCAAAAAATAAAAAAGACCAAAAAAAAAAGTTTGCCCGGCAACAGACCAGGCGCTTAATGCCACCGCCATCGGCACGACATCCAGCTGCTCGACTGATCAAGAGAAACACTTTCGTTGCCGCTGTCGTTCCCATTCTCATTTCCCCCTGATCGATTGCCTGCAGACCGTACCAAAAATAGAGCCCAAGAGAAGATCTTTGTCGGCGGTGGGAATGATCACGATCACATGCCCAGCCAATCATTAACCGAAACATTTCAAATTGAAAGTATTATCATTGTACAATTAGAGTCCGTCCACGAGATCACACCATACACACCACACGCACGCCGCAAACACCATCCATCCATCCATCCATCGCAATTTGGAGACAATACTGCAAAAAAGTTTGCCAAAAACAGAACAGAACAATAACAAACCGATGATGGATCTGATTCCTCAGCAATATTCTCTTCTGCCTTTGATCGTTCAGGCTGCTGATGGCATATTGCCAGCGATGGTGAAATTACGAGTAGAGTACCATTTTGGGGTGGTTTAAAAGGAACACAACCCTTGTGCAGACCGACGCTTGAATGTGAAATTCCAAAGAAATGTGACAATATCAGAGCAGATTGATTTTGATTTGATTTAATTTGATAAATTTTACTCGTGTATACTTATACGTATACTCGTATACTTATTCATAGTATAGTGATGCCCATCGCTTAAGCGCACAATCGGGACTTGAGATTAGGCCCCTCGTATACGTATGACCCCAAATTGAAACACATCCTAAACTGAAATGATCGCCGGGTGGCCGCAAGCTGAAGGTCATCCGAAAGAACAATCTATCAATATTTTACTCCAGCAATTTAGTCAGTCGTATCATCTGTGTACGTAAGATCTGTTCGGCTCGGTTCGGTTCAGTTCAGTTCGGATTGAGATCGAGATCGAGATCGTTATTTGTTGTAATAGTACTACCATTAAATGTTTACGTATGTAACTGTACCAGTTTATGTAGATAATGTGACTGTAATCTGTACTCTGTAGTGATCTGTCAATAAAGTGATTTGTGAACGCAGAAGAGAGGCGAGGCCGAGTTTTGTTTGCCCAATCCCCCCAGTATTACACACACACTCTGATCGCTTCGCTTTTCTTTTTCTATTTATTCAAAAAAAAAACAGACTAAACAAATTAAGAGAAAACCATATTTCAGTTCACTTAGCTTACAAAATAATAATAAAACATGTATTTATCGTATTTTTAGTTGGGTTGTGGATGTGGTGGTAGCCTATGAAACTGCTGATTCGTTCCGTGAAATACTATTCCGTGCGGTGATTCTGTATGGATTGCGATGAATTGCTGGATGAATTTTGTCGATCAATAAATTAGTTGTAAGAAATGATTGCGGTGCACATAAATACGAATTGGGTGACTGATTGTTGGGGTTGGGTGGTGCTGGGTGCCGGGGGCACCCTCATTAAGTAAACGGCCAATTACTCTTACGTTGGAGCTTAAGGTTAACTAGAGCTCGCCTGAATCGTTAGGAACCATCATTGCTGCGCTTACAGAACAAGACGTGTGATTTGATTACAAGCCTGATGACTAAAACTAAAATTGAAGGAAACCATATACGCGTACATATGGTGGATAAGATTCGATGTAATAGCTATTCGATGCGTTTAAGTCGATAGGAAATTTTAGAGTCTAAGCCGGCATTAGATATGGATTACAGATTACCTGGGTTACAATCTAAACTGGCTCTTAACCTACATTGTACAACGTATGACCTTACTTTCTTTCATTTCGAAATAATTATTTTTCTTTTCTTTTGTTTTTTTGGGTGTTTTTTTGTGATTTTTCTTAGCACATTCCGGTTTTGTTTTCTCGCATCTTCGAAGGCATTTGATCTATCTAACTAACTAGATGAATTCTCTGTCGCTGTCAATCCAATAGCCCTTTGATTTGTGTAGTTTTGGTGGGATCTTTAGTCTTGCTCCTTCTGCAAATAGAACAAGCAAACGGATAGGCTTTGTTAGTGAAATGCTTTCACTCTGGCATAATTCCTACATCCTACAGGATGTACGAGTAGACAGATAGAGAATAGTAGAGAAGAGGATACTTACAAGTACAGGATAAACAAAGGTGTCGGCTGAGTCGCGGCCAGCAGAGTTGCGGGCAATGCACTTGTAGTTGCCCATATCCTCCCACTTGATCTCCGAGATGAGCAGATCGCCCGTGGGCAGCACCTTGTAGCGATGGCTCTGGACAACCTCCTTGTTCTCGTTGTTCAACCAAGTGACTTCGGCACGGGGCCGTGCGTGCACCTTGCAGGGCAGCATCACACTGGAGCCAATCAGATCCAGATGGGTCTTCTCGGTGTAGATGATGCGCGGCTTCTGGGGGCCCGGATACTGCTTCTCGCGCACCATGCGCATATCAACCAGATCGGAGCGCACTGGGTGGACCACGGTGCTGGCGTAGATGGTCTTGGAGCCAGTGCGTCCCACGCAGGTGTAGGTGCGGGGTTCGCTCAGCATGTGATCGATGATGTGTACAGATCGCACGCGGACAATGGCACTGGCCGCATCCTCGGACACCACATTCGACTCGAGGTTCTCAATCTGAAGATAAAGGAGCGCGATCAGCATGCTGCTGCTCAAGAGGAGCTCCCTCCAGTGTACTGGACTTACCTCAGAGAGCGGCATGTGGCCGACCACCCACTGGATGCTGGGCACTTGGGAGCCCATCATCTCACAGACAATCTCCAGGGTGGCGCCGGCTGCCTGCTGCAGCTTGGCGGGCGGCGATTTGGTGAACTTGAGCCAGTCGGCCTCGAAGGGGCGTCCTCGGGGCTTCTCCTCCGGCTCCGCCTCGATGGAGTTGTCGACATCGTTGCTATCGTCTACAATGTCCACGGCACGGCTCTGGACGCTCGAGAGGCTGCCGAACAGCAGCAGCGCTAAGGCGCACAAACTTAAATTCATTTTCTGTAAGAGAACGAACCAATCGGAAATGAGTGCAAAGTTCAAAGCCAGTATCAAATTCCACTGCAAAGACATCTCAATCTCATCACATCACATCACATCGCAATCATCATCATCCGACCGACTCCGACTATAATATAGGTTAATAAACTCAACAACGACTTGATAGTCACTTGGCGATCGGCCAGTCATGCTCCTCCTCCCGGTTATCGCTAGCAATTATACATACTCGTCAACCAGGGGAGGTCTTAGCGTCCCCGATAAGAGCGCAAGGCCTTTTCGAGTGGCAGTGTCTATATGGGGGCAGAGCTCTCTAGAACATTGCGAAATGTCCAGAGATCTACCCAGAAATCCTTTCAGAACTCACCCCCAAACTGAAATCCGAAATCCAAAATCTGAATTTCACAATGCCACGCGGCTCTGCTGACACCCGAAAATTGAATGAGAATCTATCTTTTCACAGTGTCTCGGCGGTTCGCGTGGGCCGAGTGAGGATGATAAATTGAAATCGAAATTTGGAGTGACACTACACTGTGACGTCAGTGGATCCGAGAAACAACTGACAACACAACACTGTTCCCAAACACTACACTACACTACACGACGCACCCACGCCTTGGATCAAGGGCCAGTGGCGTCTAGACGGGACTGGACTACTGCGTGACCGATTAATTATTCAATCAGGTATTCGAGGGTATTATGTGTGTATGTATAATACCCCGATCAAGTCTCGCGAATCGTTGGCGAATGTTGCATCAGACATTTTTTTTCGACTCAATTTGCCCTTCGATTGGGAACTTTTTCCAACACTCGGGACCGGGGGCGACTCGATTTAATTTGATTCTCTTTAAATTCGAATTGGAAATAGAAACCACGCAATCCGTGGGGAAATTTCATAGATAGGGATCGTGGATTGCGGATTTGTGGGTCTGAACACCGTCTATTGTTGGCTTGACGATTACTCATCCAAAGCACCCGATTGACGTGGCAGCACCACTTTATCGAGACTAGATACATATAGTATAGTATATTCTCTATCGTATAGTAGGAGAAGTATGGCTCACCTTTTGATTTGATTTCTTTTTTCTCTTCCGGTAAAAAATGTTTGCAAATTTCTCCCTAACGTTTAATATATAAGAACAGGCGGTCGCGATTGCGTTGGGTCTCTTTCGGCAGTCAGAAGAGATCCGCTCGTCGTTATGTTATGAACGAATTTATCAGCTCTATATTGTTGTGGTTCCTCGTTTGGGTTTTCTGGTTGAAGTTCAGCAGCAGTTGGCTTTGCACTGACATAGGTCCGGCGATGGATGCCGTCTTGGCGGTCGCGCAGCTCAGTGTTGGCGGAATCTTGACTGGAGCTTATCGCACACGCTGCAGAGTCGGATGCAGATCGGCTTGTGGTCTGGCTGGAGACGAAGGACACACACAGACACGTTTGGGGAGGGGCTGGAGAGGAAGCAGCGGCTTGGTGGCTGGCTTTCAGTGATATTCGGCGTAGCGAATGTCGAGCTGACGGCTTTGGCACATTCGATCGGAATCAGCGAAATCAGCGGAATCGATCAGTGGATCTATTCTATATATCTATTGATATAGATGTAGATATGGACTTCTTCAATTGCAGTGGCAGTGACAGTGCTGTTGAGGTGGTTTGGTTGGCGCGGCACTCGTTTGAATACGCACGGTTCATCGACATTACAATTCACAAGTCAAGGTGTGTCAATGGAGGCTTCGGTCTGTCCGACGGTGGCAATTCACGAAAAGAGCGAGGATCGGATCGGTTTCGGATCGTATCGGTTTGTGATTGGATTGGTTTAAATATTGGCTTGGAAGCGAGGCGCTGGCACTGACACTAAGTTTGTTGTTCAACAGCGAAAAACTGTAAATGAACTGGCCGTCACAGACTCGGGCTCTTTTATTTATACTCGTGTGCCCAGCCGGAGCGGAGAGCATCCGACGGAAACACACACAAACGCACAGATACACACAGAAGCAGAGGCACCGCCGTCGTCGCCGCTGCTGCTCTCTGACTCTCTCTCTCTCCCTCTCCCTCTCTCTCTCTCTCTCTCTCTCTCTGTGGCTGTCTCGTGTGACAAGCCGCCTCGTCGACCAGAATCTGAATTCATATGTAATTCTTTGTGTGGCCGCCGCCGGAGCGGTGTTGCGGGAGCGGGACAGTCCGGAACAAAACGGACTCACTGCGGCTTCGCTGCTAGTTATCCTCCTCCTTGGGACTTGGGACTTGGGACCAATAAATATGATCTTATATGTGCGATGGGATTTGATTTCATAAATTCGTCTCGATTTAATTGTTGCATGGCAGGATTCCCCCAAACCCTTTCGGACCCATTCCCTTATCTTGGGACCTGGCTTTCAGCCAATTGACAGACAGTTGGCGATGGCAGTGTAGACCACTTCTCCTCCTTCGTGTCTGGGAATGGGACTGCGGTTGGGGGCAAGATTCGACCGATCATCATGCAAGGTTCCATTAGCCGAGACCGAGTCGGTCCGCTTCCCTCTGTCCCTCTAGCCGCTCGTTTCATTGCAATCAAGAGTGAGTGCCAGTTTGTCTGCGACGATCGTCGCTTGGTCGAATGGGATGGGATGGGGGCTGAACGGGAGAGAGATCGCGCAGAAAGGCGGAGGGGCAGATACCACACAGTGTAGCAATGCTGACTGCCCGGCAGTCGTATATCTGTAGCTGTATCTGTATCTGTATCTTTGTGTGTGCTGTTTGAGAGGAGGCGGAGGAGAGGCCGAGGCACAGGCAGAGGCATAAAACTAGTCGTTGACTGAGATTGTAATGGAGGTGCCGCCGCTGCCGCCGGCACCGCCGGGAGGTGCAGCCAAAATGGCAGACAGACTGGCAGCCACATCGCGTGTTCGCTTTCCGCTGTGCCCGTGTGCCCGTGTGCCCGTGTGGCGTGGAGCCGGTCCGGTCCGAACCGGCGACTGTTGCCGGGCGGCAGCCCCAGCCCCCACTGCGGTTGCTGTGGTGTGGAGTGGAGTGGAGTGGTGTGGAATGGAGGGAAGTGGAGCGGCGTGGAGTGGCGGGATAGGACGGCACGGGACGGGTTCTCGACTAGTTTTCTTTCTTCGCTTTATCGACGGGCCACATCGACATCGACAACGACTGCAACTAGATTCAATTCTATGGGTAATTTATTTATTGCACGTTACACAAATCGTCCGACCACAAAATCACCTCCGCCCCGCCCCACCGGCACCCCTCTTTCCGGTCAATTGGCCGCGGTGGCGGTTCGGCACAAAGCGAAATTCAATTGAGAGAAAAATCTTGCAGGTGCTTGAAATTGTGTCTCGTGCCTCTGTCTCTGCCTCTGCTTCTGCCTCTACCACTGCCACTGTCTCCGTCTCCGTCTCCGTCTCCGCTCCGGGCTCTGGCTATCTGCCGGCACACCTCAAAGCGTTGCCAGCGATATATCGTAACGCTGACGTAAGGGGCACTGAATTGAAATGGCCTTTCGATGGCGATGGATGCCTCTATGGGGATGTATTGCTGATGAGCGCCCCACACCCCCTGGGAAATGGGGAGGGTAGCGGGAGCACGTCGCAACAGAGCAAAAATATTGCACTGCTTTCTTCTGTTTCAGGATAGGGGTTGGTTGCGTTGCATTTCCTAGCTTTATTTCCAGGCTAGGCTGTATTTCCTATAAAGGCGACACGGATGCAATCTTTGAACCCGAACAGAACTGTACATTTCCATCCCCTCACCAAAATGAGATCATCTCTCGGATCGTGGATCGGTTCGTGGCATACATATTCATGGGCATCCGACGTCACAGACCACTCAGGTGGATCGGCCATTATTGTCATCGCTCGTCTTGTCAATTAGGTTGCCGGCTTGCCGCCTTGCCGCCTTGCCGCCTTCTCGCCTTGCCACAGCCGCTCCTCTTTCATTCGAAACGTAGATTTATAGGTTCCATTTCCTAGAAACCATCAAACCCGCATGCGAGCTGGTTTTCTCCCACAGAGAGAAGAGAGGTCGAGGCCTGGCACTCGCCGAAGATATCGTATGATCGTATTGTTCGGTGGCTTGATGGCACAAATTATTGCATCATGACAGTGGACGTTCCCCAAGATACTTCGTGCATTTGTGCATGTGTGCATTTGGTGCATGGGTGAGCCAAATTGGCTCGCTTCCGCTAATGGATAATGGGTAGATCTCTTCCCCAGAGGCACCACCACCACTCGTGGAGCAACAGCGCCGCATCGTTTGCACTTTTCTGCTAATTAACGTCGTGACAGGCGATAGCAACACCTCCAGAGCCAACAGTGCCACAGCATCACCGGAACCACACGACACCAACACGGGGAGGAGGAGGAGGAGAGACTTAAGCGGGACTAGAGGACGGCTCATTCAAAGTGAGACCAAGAGCCAGACGCACAGACGGACAGACGGACAGTCAGAGCGACAGATGGAGAGTTCGGGGAAAAGATAGTGCAACATGCAACGGAGACCAAGACCAGTCGTCACACTCAGCCCGAGATACAGCCACACAGATAGACTCGTACACTCGTATACTCGTACACAGATACACGTGTGCACAGGCAACTGTCGGCAGTCGGAAACATTTGTTGGACTGCAGGTTGCACTGGTGTGTGGGTTGGAACGAGCAGCCGATCAGCGGAGCAGCCACTGGAACGCCGCTGGTGACGACGTGAGAAAATTCATGTTCATGCCACAAATTCTGTGCCGTTTTCATGGTTTTTTTTTTTTTTTGCTTTTTGCCTGCTGTCATTGATACGACTGCTATGACTGCGAGTGTGTCTGTGCGTATGTGCAGCCGCCTAGCAACAGTGAGGAGGCCTCGACTTGGTCTCCTACCATCCTACCATCGGCCTGGTATCGGCTGGGTATCGATCGGTGTCGGTGTCGGTGTCGGTGCCACACACGCACATGCGCAGCAGCGGAAATAAGAGTGGGGGGAATGGATGGCAGAGAGCTCGTGTCGCCTTGAGCCGATGAAAGGTCAGTTCAGAGAATTGGAAAACCCTACAGAGCGACACATGACTGTGCCTAGATCAGAATTTGCCAGCCGATTCCATTGAAAAGTGGCGGAAATTCCCATTTAATAGCTTCTGTACTCCGGCCAAGAATACAATAGAATAGTGCAAGTCTTCTATGTTCTCTTTTAAGTCTCCTCCAATGTCCAGTACTGCTCGAGAAAGTGCCGGAAATTCCCTTCGAAAAGGTTCTGGTCCCCCCAGGGTGCAATTCTTCGGCCTGAACTTGAACTAAAGTATAAGGAGTATCGGGTCCCCAGCTTTTGATAGCACAATTTCTTTCCGATCCCTCCCCTCTCTGGCCGGTCGACTATCAGACGCGTCGCTGTTCTACATCGCAACGAGATCACGCATCTATCTTCTGTGCGCCAGCGTGTGCGCAGTGCGTAGTGCGTACGAGTATGTAGATGTAATGTGCGGAGCATAACAGCAAATGGAATGGAAAATTTTTGAAACCACATATCACGTTTCCACTCTCTTAAAAGTGGAAAATTTTACGAGTAGAGTAGTCCCAATGAAATGCAATTATCACTAATTGTTTAGCTCTCGGTCTGACAGATGATGACGGACAGCTGGTGGCATTAACATTTAACATGTACATTAACACTAACATTGTCATTACATCAAGGAGGCGTATCGGAATTGGAAGTGGAATTGGAAGTATAATGGAAATCGGAATTGATGTATGGTGTATGGTGTATGGAACTTCCTCTATCAGAGTGCGAGTGCGATGCATAATGTGTATAGTAATTTATCAATTAACCTGCCGTTCGATCATTATTTATGTATGTATGTATGTAAAGTGCATTCGCCTCCCCTACTCACTGCATTTCCCGCTCTCTCTCTCTCTCTCTCCCTCTCCCTCTCTAAGTGTGTGTGTGTGAATCGTAATCTGATTCTCTGGCATTCTTCAGTCGGCTTAATTTGAACGTGTGCGGCGGGGTTGCGGTCTCCGGTTACCTTCTGTTTGTTGTGCAACAAGTCGAGCAAGCGACCTGCCGAGCACCCAATCGACCACCACCGGAGCGATGGCGACGACTTTGACTCTGTCTTTTGCCTCCGACTCCGACTTCGATCCGACTCTCGCCCAATTTGCTTCACGATTGCATCAGCCATTTAATCCGCTCTTCCTCTCCCTCTGCCTCTGCCGCTGCCACCGCCATGGGTGCGCTCTTCGCTGCACCAAAAAGTTGAGCGGGCAGAGGTGAACCCAAGCCGGAGAGCATAACCCTGAGCCTCTTCGTACCTACCTCCATACATACATATGTATGTATGTACATATGTATGTACATGGCCATGTTCGAGTGTGAGAGTGCCGTGCCACTTCATGAGTATGCTGTCGATGATGAGTCATATGGAAATCGTTAAATTCAAATATTCCAAAAACTAAATGAGGTTGTGCCTGCCCTACAAGAGGCTTGTGAATTGGAAAAGTAAACAAATAATAGGTTTTTATTGCGAACCTCATTCGCATTTGCACCAAAGCCAGTTCCAGATGATAGAAGCACTATTTGAAATTATACTCGTAACAAATTCGAAACGTGCCCTTTTTGAACTATTCTGATCCCGCCACTCTTTCCTTTCCCTACCCCTTTAGCGGCTTCTTATCTCTCTGATGTTCCCATTTAATTGAAATCACTTCATTATAATGATTTGGCAAAAGAAAACAATAACAGAAAAAAATGTTAGCTATGGGCAATCCGAAGCTGGCAATACCCTTGATTTTGACCTATCCTACTCGGCGCTGAGTACCCTAAATAAATGAATAAAAAGAATATTTTTCATGTAATAATCATAAGAAATATTCATATTTCTAAGATTGAATGTCCGTATAGCTCCTAAATGAACGTGAAAGGAGTGCCATCTTTATAAGAAAGTACAACTACCATTTAATAGGACCAGCCCCCTCTTATTTCGGCAGAGCATTAATATGACGTCTGATGACGTGTGCGGAGATGTTTTCGACTTGAACGTTATAATCATCGCCACCATCAGCACCAGCATCATCATCACCGTCCACGCCCCAAGTTCAATGGAGCTTGAAAAACAATTATGAACGCAATAGCATGTAGAAAAGGGGGCTCGTTGCTCACACACATACGCAAATAGAAAGACAGAGAGAGGTAGAGTGGTATGGAGGAGGAAGAGAACAACACAACGAGGACAGGGCCGTCAATTAAAGAATCCTACTAATTGTCTTTACATACATACATATGTATGTTTGTACATGTACATTAATATAAAAGAAGTATGTAGCACATAATTAAGCTTACGTATGTGTTAGAGTAGGGGAGCAATCGACGTCACGCGGAATGGATAAACACAGCATCAAGTGATACCCGAAGCGTTGGGGGCTCGTCTCTCCGCATCGTGCTACTCGCCGCGTCGGCAGCGACGCTTTACTCACATACACTCGCGCATGTATAAATACATATACATGTTTCGCAGCGCCAGAAGAGCAAAGCTTCGCTGCGTTATGCTCTTTCTTTCGGCTCGCTCTCTCCCTCTCTCGCTCCCTCTCTCTGAGCGATGCGATCGTATGCAAATGCGGCGAATGCAAAATGAAATTGCAAAAAAAAAACTGTGATTGCTGTCGTCCCCCCACGCCGGGCCCTCTCTGAATAGCCAGTGACGCATATGAACCCGCGCCCCTGTCCATCCGACCGACCCTCACCCGACCAGCCGGCGATCTGGCAGCGCTTTACTAATTTCATTGCGAAAAGTCGCCTTCGATTTGAATACCCTGCAGTTGGTATACTTGTGCAGGGGAGACGTTTGCCACACGTTAGCATAAGTCTACGAATCTGTTCGAGTTTTAAAAGAGAATTGAACAAAACTCAATAAATTTCAGTGCCACGAGACTTCTGCGTAACTTTAACAAATTGTGTTCGAATCGAATGACCATATCACATAGCTGCCATAGAAACATAGGGTATCAGAAGCTGCGGCCTCTGGGGCTAGCCTTACTTTCTGGTTTTTGCTTAGGTTTTTTTCTTCCATTAAACAAATTGCGATTTATTACAAAAGTGATCTGATTATTAATTGCTTTTGAATTGATTTCGATTCGGTTTGCATCGATGACTCCGATTCAGAGTCGGAGAATAGCAGGAGAGCGGGAGAGGGGGTGGAGGGGAGCAGATCGGTACAGAGGAGTGCGTGACCAACGCAACGTCTCGGCGCTCAGGCGCGGCTCGACATGTAACCAATTCTCGGCCTGGTCTGCGACTGGAGCTGCCTTTAAGCTCACGTAGCCCCCTAGTCGAAGCTGACTTGACACCAACTACATATTCCACTGAGTCAGCATATGGCAAATGGCTGCACTGCAACACCAAGATCCGGACTTGGTATCACTAACTGAAACTAGATCGAACCGCTGTGGTTCGGTAAGTTCTCAGCCGCTAATTCTGGCTTTGCATCGGATTTTGGGGGAAATGAAGCCAAGGGATTCATAATATTTTGATTGAGATTTGTTTTGATCATTCTTTACGATTCTTCCCACGATCGCGCCTCCATCGTCGAGGACTTTGTTTACTCTTGGTTTTCAGCGGATGAAAGCAATATTCCTGAGGCACCATCGCAAGTGCCCGTACACTTGATGTTATTGTCCGTTCCCCACAGAAAAACAACATACGATCTGAATCCAAGTCCCGATACTGATGCCATTTCTGATCTCCATCACATTCCAGCGCGGGAGAGCAGACCTATTGGCGTCGCCGGGAACCCTACAATCTCTGCCATGACCAATTTCTTTTCTGGCCTTTGCCTATTAAAAAGAATCTCTCTGTTGCCTGGAGAATCTGTTGCTCAGTGCGAAAATAATTTCGCTGAGCTCTGCTCGTATTTCGAGTATTGTATGATTATTTAGATTATGACGAGAATGACTGCCTCGCACAACTGAAACTGAAGAGCCACAGAACTACCAATTGCAATTGCCATAGGAATGGAGAGGCTCAATTAACTTCCGTCTAGACGTGTGTCCAGGTCTTTTTTCCATTCGCCCCCACGTCACATGAGATAACGCAATTTAACAATTTTTTACAATTTTTTTTAGCACTTTCTTTATCACAAGAGCTACGGAATTGAAGGCACGAGATCAGAAATTCAAACAAATTAACAGATAATGGCTTTGAATCTTCAAGTATTTGAGATTCGTAAACAAAATGTCCGGTGATTCAGACAGGGCAAGGGTTTTTTCCTTTTAAGATTAGACTAGTAGGGGAACTACACTTAAAACGACAGATCTTTTCCCAATTGGGGCGATATGTGGAGGAAATCTTAACAACAATTTTATTAACTCTCAAAAAAAAAAAAAAATACTGGAGACTCGGGGGCTTTAAGCCCAAAGTAAAAAATTTGTATCCTTTGGCGAAATGCACTTTAAGATGATTCGGACTAATCGTGGAGTATCTTCAACAGACAGATTAATGTATTAACTAGCTCCTTGGCGGACATTTGTTTCGATGAACTTCACTTTTATCGCTATACATACCTGCATTTTCCGGTTCGATTTTCCTCTAGCTTTCACTTTGAAGACTTTCACAGAATTTCCGTTTTCACTTTCAGTTTTTTTTTCGCACTAGAGTTCTAGAACTTTCGATGAAGATTCGAATTTATTGCAGATTTCGATTTAGGAGTCGGATTCGGTTTCCTGTTTGCCGTTTCCGAATAGAGCGCACCGCCACAAGCAGTTACAGTTATGTTCTATTGGGGCTCTCTTCTCTTTGGGCCTGCTCTTCTCTGACGCTGCGGCTGCGGCTGGGTCTCGATTTCAGTTCGCTTCTGGGTTCTCGGCTGAGAGAGCTGTGTTCTGCTCGGGATGTGGCGAATGATGGACTGTGTGGCGAAAGGTTGAGCGTCCATGCTTTTATATCGGGTATCGGGCATGCCCGAAATCAACAAGTGGGCTGCTGCTGCTCGGAGGAACGGACCGGCGGAACGACGAACGGACGGACGTGGACGGCCGAGCCTCGACAAATTGGACTCCACACTGGGGGCTTAATAACAGTATTGGTGTCCGTCAGTGGAGGGGATTGGGATGCCATCCATCCCCTCGTGCCTGTACTGGTATTGGTGTTCGTTGCGCTGCTTCGGGCTCGTCTTGGCTTCGTCTTGACATCGTCTTGCCTTTGCGGTGTGTGTCGGGAGCCCTGCGAGGGTGTTGGGGCTGGCTGTGGCTGTGGCTGTGGAGCTTTACTTGTTGCTCTCCTTTGATTGATTGATTCAAATGCGAGAACACGCGAATAATTCATGCAAATTTATTATTTTATATCACATTTTTCTCATTAATATTCGCAAAAGACATGTAGTGTCCATAGGATTGGAACGGATCGGCTTGGACCGGAATGAGAATGGGAATCGAAATTGAAATTGAAATGGAAATGGAAATGAAATGCGTGCTCCAGATACATATTCGCTAGTACAGTTTTTAGAAAATACAGTACGATGCAGATAGACACGAGTATCTTGGCGATAGAGTCGATCGATTTCCATATGGCAGAGCTCTGGAGCGGTGGCTGGTCAAAGGAGTTAAGGCAGTTCCCGTTCCCGTTCCCTTTCCCGCTCCCGTTCCAGTTCCAGTTCCCGTTCCCGCCCGTCTATCCATCAGAAAGGAGCAATTGAATCATACTCTGAGTTCAATTAGATTACATGAGATTTGCCCTGGTGCCCGACACTTAACCTCTCTTATCGCCGACCAGATGTTGATAATTCCGGATTTGTTCGGGTTTCAGGTGGGATTTGAGTCAACGCGATTTAGTTTCATCTGCCTGCCCACAGAATTCAGTAGCCCAATCAGTAGACAATGCTGGCTCCCAGACGTCATTGTTCCACTGGCTGTGGCTGTGGCTATGGCTGTGGCTCTGGCAGACCTGTTGCCACCATTCCACCACCAGTGTGGGCTCCATCAAACCCAATTGCTCCCCAGCATCTCTGGCACTATTTGCATTCCAGAGACCGGGACCAATTGCACAAAGATTCCGACAGGCAGACACTACTGATGCTGCTGCTGCTGCTGCACCAGAATCAGAATCAGAATCAAAAGCCTCTGATTTCCCAGAAGCTGCTGGACGACGGGCATGGGCAAACACAACTCAATTGATTTTTGTGTGGCGTCAATTGAAATGCACTTCGGAGTCTAGGATGGAGACGGGGCGTGTCGTGTGCTTACATCGAGTGGTGCGAGTGGCTCGACACCGTTATATTCAAATGAAGTAGACACTTTTCGAACAGCTTCGAATTGAAAGGCAGAAGGTAGCAGTCCGGCAAAATGACCAGTACCTTTATCAGCTCCATCTTGATGATGATGATGATGATACTCGTAATGATGAGAGCCGCTCATTGATTAGCGTCTGTGGTTGGGGAGACCTTGCTAACAGCAGCCACCCATCAGGGCCATCAGTTGGGTCAAAGCGCTGCCCCTGGCAACAGCCATTCAGTAATTCCCTATTTAAAATTACGAGCCCACCCACAGCTCAACCCAACCCCTCCACCATACACCCACTCTGACATATTCGATATATATATGTAGTTATGTATATATTGTGTATACACTGTATCATTGTCCCACGGAGTCGCCCACGCAGTCGCGCAACCAATTTGGCCATCCGTCAATAGGGCTTCATTTGAATTGCCAGCTTGTCTCCAATTGATGCCAACCAGCCAAATAGCCAACCACCCAACCACTCAACTACCCACGACTGCGACCACGACCACGACCACGGCGGGCGCTCTATAGATGCTCGTCCTGGTTCCTGGCCAGCTCAACCCCTCCTTGGGCCATCATTCATCTGCAATCAGTCAGCAGCATGGCGTAATTAAACATTGGGCTGTCACAGTTGTCGTAGTCGTCCCATTGCGCATTTATTGGCAACTCTATTCATTTAATCATGTGATATAATATATGTATATATACAAAACCTGATGCATGCATGTGCTTGTATGTGCTTGCATGTGTGTGGCTCTATAAGTCTGCGGGTCTATGGAAAATCCCTGAAAACATTTCATACAAAATGGAACTACATTAATACACAATTAGTGACAATTATGGAATATCCCCAAAATGGCAATCCTCAAATGGCTAGAATTCAGTATGATTATTATAGTTCATGCTTTACATCATTTTATAGTTGAAAGGGATATAGATGTAACGATTGTTGCCTGCTTTAGGGGGCGCTATTTCTCTGTGAACCACACTTTGACAGATTAGACTTCAAATTTTTAGCAATGTTGGAAACATCAGAATGGAACAGAATAATCGTATAAAACAAATGTTCATTCTCTCAATGAATGTCTTGATTTTTAATAATTTTCATTTAACAATGAGACAATCTCTAGGAAATCTTTTTCGGATTAGCATTTAAATTTGTAGAAAGGGAAAGAAGGGAAACTCGAAAGAAACAGAATAGACGAGATCTTAATACAAAAATTTGCGTTCTCTTCTATCAATGGATGTCAATACTTGAAAGGTTTGAACCTCTGTATAATGAAAATGTGTAGACGTGAGAATAGCTAACTCCTTTAAAGAGTAAACTGCAAAGTAAAAGCAAACAGTAAAAGTAGATGGAAAGTAGATGGAAGTTCACCACAAACTGATTACTATTCCGAGAATCTCATTCCTCATTCAAGCCATTTAAGAATCATGCCCCAATAGGTATACCACAGAATACTGTTGTTTGCTAAAATCGACTGAGATTTACTTTTCATGAAGTCATTTGTCTTTTTAGCCTATGACACTATCGAATCGTTATTTGGGGGCTCTACTGTACGCAAGCTAAAGCTTATGGGTATTTAGTACGAATGTACATGTACTAAAAGCTGCGTTATAAACAAATGAAGAGCATGACAATGAGCTTTCAGCAGCTTTCAAGGTTAAACATGTTTTACAGCCAACGCGAAATGTTGGTAAGGCTTTCTTGACTCTTATTATGATCATATATATGTGTGCACATATATTATATATTACATATATGTACATAAGTAGTCTCTGTATAGACTTTTGGAATTTGACTTTTTCGAAACCGATACAAAATTAGCCTCCATTTCGATGCAATTAACATTTGATTAGGGGCCTGAGAAAACTTTGCAATTAGTTCGGTTGCTAGGTCGGTCTGCATGTTTAAGCTTTTTAAAGCTGTCAATCTGCACATAAGCGAAAATGTTAGTACCTTGCCGTTTACAATAACCTTGTATTTCTTTTTTTCCCTGACAAGTTAAGCAAATACATATTTCGATGCCTGATCTGAGAACAAAACCACTATAAATTTGAAATGTTTTCTCAAAATTCGCACCGTGACCAAAGTGCAGTCCCAATTTCGCTGGGTGTATAAAACATTTGATAACCAACAAACAGCAAGAGCTTTTTCGTCGGCTTTCTCTCTCGCGGAACACACTGGCAAGTTGTGCCCCCGCATTCTCTCGCCTCGCCTCTCGAAGTTCAGTTCGACCGTCGTTTTTTTCCCGAAATTAGCGATCGCCTGATTGACACCACCCAATCTACCTGGCCCCACGATGAGCTCCCGCATTCCTCTGGGCATCCGGCAGTGCAACAGGCTTCTGGCCGCACCCATCTACAGTTCCAATGAAGCCCCCTCTCAGGCCCGCCTCTTCTCCACATCGCAGGTGCATTACGAGAGACACGAGTAAGTTCAGTACGCACTCTCCCGACTTATTGCTTTAATTTTCATTTGTGATTTCTATCAAGTGAATCCAATTAGTACGATTAAGTTATCACCATGCAAGCCAAAACGAAACCTGCAGGCAAAGTTATCTTGCACCCATTAGCATGTGTATATAATAAATGGTGGTAACGAATAGATAATGAAGAATTTGCCTAAGCATAGGATCGATAAAATAGTTAAACTTTGGGCTTGGGCTTTTATCGTGGGGATTCGGTGGATGGGTGGGGTCCAAGTAGAGCCCCAAGGGGTTGGTTAAGGGCAAACATGATGGAGGATCCTTGGGGAATAGAGTCACGCAATCCGTAATGTTATATAAACTTGAATATAACACTTTTTTGAATTCCCTTTTTTCAGCTGCAAAGTTTTGGTTGTGGGCGGCGGCAGTGGCGGCTGTGCCATGGCCGCCAAGCTGTCATCTCATCTGGGCAAGGATAAGGTGATCGTCCTGGAGCCTGAAGATGTACGTATGAATGGTTGGGTGCGCCGCCAAAGAGTTACTCAACGGCTTAGTATTTTACTTCTTTCACGCAGAGACACTATTATCAGCCGATGTTCACCTTGATTGGAGGCGGAATGAAGCGCCTGGAGCAATCCTACAAGACCATGGCCGAGGTGCTTCCGAAGAAGGCAAAGTGGGTGAAGGAAAAGGCGATGGAATTTGATCCGGATAACAATACGGTCTGCACCTCCGGAGGTGACACAATCAAATATGATTTCCTGCTCATTGCCACTGGCCTGCAATTGAAGTACGAGAAGGCAAGGAAACTCTTCACAACCTAAAAGATATTCTTATGCTAATTGGTAGTATCATATAGATTCCCGGACTAGCGGAGGCTCTGGAGGTACCCAATGGGAAGGTGTGCTCCATCTACTCCCCCAAGTATGCGGAGGGCGTCTACGATGTGCTGCGAAGAACAACTGGCGGAAACTTGATATTCACCTTTCCCGATTCCCCTGTCAAATGTCCTGGTGCCCCACAGAAGATTGTCTACATAGTCGAGCACTATTTCCGCAAGGTACGGATGAATTCACTGCCATTGAACAGGGACACAATCTTTTAAAAATTCCACTCCTTTCCCTTTAGCTGGGCAAGCGCGATAAAGTGAATATCACATATAACACAGCTCTGCCAGTGCTCTTTGGCGTGAAACACTATGCGGACGCCCTATGGCCCATCTGCAAGAAGCGGAACATTACGGTTAACACTCGGCGAAACCTGGTGGAGGTTCGGCATGCCGAGGACATAGCTGTGTTCGAGGATCTCGAGAATCCCGGTCAGCTTTGCGAGGAGAAGGTATGATTATCTGAAAAGCCATACCGAGGGGCAGTCAATGACATTTTCTATCCGGACAGTACTCCCTGCTGCATGCTGTGCCACCAATGAGCGCTCCCGACGAGCTAACAAAATGCCGGAAGCTGATGAACACGGCGGGATTCGTGGATGTGAATAACTCGACGCTGCAGCATGTCAGATATAGCAATGTATTCGCCATCGGGGATTCGTCTGGCACACCGAACTCGAAGACTGCCGCAGCTGCAGGTAAGATTAGATTCAAATCAATGGATTAATCAAGGCTTTGAGCAGACCGTCGATCGTCGCCCTCGCAACAGAATTAGAATATTGAAATCGGGTTTCATTTACAGCTGCTCAGTCGCCCGTTGTCTTTCGGAATATGATTGCAGCGATGGAGGGCAAACCTCTGACGGAGGTCTACGATGGCTATGCCTCGTGCCCGCTGGTGACTGGATACAGCACCTGCATTTTGGCGGAGTTCGATTACAGTCTGACGCCCTTAGAAACGTTCCCAGTGGCCCAGAACAAGGAGCGGTACTCGATGTTCATCATGAAGAAGGATTTCATGCCGCTGCTCTACTGGAAGCTCATGCTCCCGGGCCACTGGAATGGCCCGGGGCTGATGCGAAAGCTCTTCGGTGTTTTTAAGCCAAATAAAAAGTAAATGCAACTCTCCGAAATCTAAATAGTTTATGTCAAATCAAACTTTACTATTGTGTTGTGAATTCAAATATCAAATGGGCGCCAAGTGTCATTCACCTGCAGTGCAGCATTATTATTTTATTTTCGATATATTTTGACGTGTAAATTGAGATGCTGGTATATTTAGGTATATAATGGTATATTTGATCAATTTCGTATATTAAATTTAATTTTTAACGGTATGTTTAAGAACAAAGGATATAGAAACCTCCACACGCTGTTTTTTTTCATTTTCGCTCTCTCAAATCGTACTTACGTGCATCATTTATCCAATGGATTGCATTTAAATCCTTGTCGCGCATTCACTTTCAAACAATTTCTGGCAAACAATGGCATCAATAGCCGAGTCGATTGAGTCCTGTCTGTCTGTCCGTCTGTCCGTCCGTCCGACTGTCCGTCCCTATCAGCGCCTAGTGCTCAAAGACTATAAGAGCTAGAGCAACGACGTTTTATATCCGGACTTCTGTGGTATGTCACTGCTACAAGTATATTTCAAAACTTTGCCCCGCCCACTTCCGCCCCCAAAAAGAGCGAAAATCTGTGGCATCCACACAATTCAAAGATACGAGAAAACTGAAAACGCAGAATCGTAGAGGATGACTATATGTTCTAGAGTGTAAAATCTGAACCAGATCGTATAATTATTATAACCAGTACGAAAATCTGGGGCATCCACAAATCTCAGAGACTATTAAGGCTGGAGTAACCAAATTTGGTATCCACACTCCTTTTAGATCTCACTATAAAACGTATACATATCTCAAAATTTCGCCCCACCCCTTTCCACAAAGGACGAAAATCTGTTGCATCCATAATATTGCAGATTCGAGAAAACTAAAAACGCACAATCATAGAGAATAACCATATCTATCCGGTTGCTGAATTTGGATCAGATCGGATCATTTTTATAGCCAAAAGGAACAAATCAATTTGCAGTGGCTACGCATCGCCCGACGTCACGCTCAGATTGATTTTCTGCCTTTCTCTCACGCACTCTTTGTCGTGTCGTTCAATTTAGCGGCGTCTGCCGGAGGAGATCCATACTGACTAAGTATCGGGTATAAATGTAGAGTTGCGGTTTCCGCAGAAACTCACAACGTTCCCCCTCGTTTTGTTTGTTTTGATTGACCTATTTCGATACTTGTTTTTTGTTTAACTTATTTCGCTAAAACCTCTTTTTACGCAAAATGCAATAAAAGCAAATATTAAGAATGCACCAGTTAAATAGAAAATTGATTCATTATTCGGATAAAATTATGTGGACATGGCTGAGTGCTCTATTTAGCTAATAATATTCCACGGAATATCAAAAACGAGCAATATGTATAACAGAACTTGACTTCGTCAGTATATTTACGGTATATTTTGGTATATTTCTGAGCGTCGGTCACACTGCGCAACACTCAAACGAAGCGTGGCGTCGCTTGGCGCTGGAATTTTGAAGCTAACGTGAATTTTGTGAAGAAAAACAGAACATAAACAACATTCGGCGGTCAATTGCGTGGGAAATAATTTATTAGAATGAAAGCAGTGTAAGTAGAATGTGAAACCTTAAAAGCGCGATGAAATAGATACAAGAGGGACTTTTGCAGATCACGAACTCCGATGCGCGTCCCCAAGACACCGCGAGTGCATCAAACGACAGAGAAGCACCGTCGGGAGACGTCCGAAAAGGCAAAAGATCCGGTGAATGTGTTCTGCCGAGTCCGCCCGCTCCAATCGGATGGGGACCTCACTTCTCTGCGGGTGAAGAGCTCCACAACAATCGCATTAAATCCGCATGATCAGCTGCTGCAGCACCACAAACAGAACGGCGCCCAGCGCGAGATACAGTACATATTCAAGCACGTCTTTCAATCGGATGCTACGCAGCAGGATGTGTTCGCGTCCGTGGCCCAGCCACTGGTCGAGAACCTGGTGCGTGGCCGGAACAGTTTGCTATTCACCTACGGCGTCACGGGCAGCGGCAAGACGTACACAATGACGGGCAACCTGAGACATCGCGGCATAATGCCCCGATGCCTAGATGTGCTCTTTCGCACCATATCCGATTTTCAGGCCAAGAAGTTTGTCTTCAAGCCGGACAAGTTGAATGGCTTCGAGATTCTGTCCGAGGAGGATGCGCTGCTAGAACGGCAACATGAGATGAATCAACGCTTTGCCGGTTCCGGTCGCTTCGCGTACCGAAACAAGGACTCGGATCCGGAGATCGCCTCCCAAGCGTCGGTGGAGCCAATGCCTCTGCTGGGCCTCGACGAAGACAATATGTATTCGGTGTTTGTCACCTACGTAGAAATTTACAACAACAGTGTGTATGATCTTCTAGAGGACTCGGGCATACAGAAGTAAGTGGGATATCCTTCAAGTGTTCACGTATGTAATCCTCTGTTTCCTCTCCCTTGCAGGACTTTGCAAAGCAAAATCATTCGCGAGGATGCCCATCATCACATGTTCGTCCATGGCGTCACCGAGGTGGAAGTTAAAACGGTGGAGGATGCCCTCGAGGTCTTTCAAATGGGACAAAAGAAAAAGCGCATGGGTCACACGGTCTTGAATGCCGAGTCCAGCCGCAGCCACTCGGTGTTTAACATTCGCCTCGTCCAGGCCCCCACCGACAACCAGGGCGAGAATGTTGTCCAGGACAGGCAAAAAATCACAGTGAGCCAGCTGTCCCTGGTAGATCTGGCCGGCAGTGAGCGCTCCTCGCGCACCAAGAACACTGGGGTGCGACTTCGCGAGGCTGGGAACATCAACAACTCGCTGATGACGCTCCGGACATGCCTCGAGTATCTGCGCGAGAATCAGCAGGCGGCCATCAATGGCTTTTCCCATAAGAAGATACCATATCGCGACTCCAAGATCACGCACATGTTTAAGAATTACTTTGACGGCGAGGGGCAGGTGTCCATGATTGTATGCATCAATCCTAGAATGGAGGACTATGATGAGAATATGGTAGGTGGAGAATTCGCCGGTTGATTTATTTTGCTCCAAATTCCCTTTTTTCCATTTGCAGCAAGTTATGAAGTTTGCCGAGATGACTCAGGAAGTGCAAATAGCTCGGGCAACGCCCATTAAAACGGACTTGGGCCTAACGCCAGGCCGCCGGAAGGCCAACAAGCTGTTCAAGATAGCTGTCAAAAATCTGAACGAGCTGGGCATGTCCGAGGCCAAGGACCTGAAGGTGGATGTGGGCTTGGTCTACAGTCTGGGACCCGACTTTCCCCTCTGCCAAGTGGACAGCCCTGAGGCGGAGGTTAAGATCCAGGAGCTCATGCATTACCTGGAGCAGCGGATTGAGAAGCGGAAGAGGCTGCGCGCCAATTTGGATATTAAATGTGAGTCCTATAGCCTCCGCTCCTCCAAAAAGGGTGCCCATCCTTATTCATTTTGCATGTACTCCTAGGCGACAATTTTCGCCAGATGCTAATGAACTTGGACCGCGACAACTTGCAGCTGAGCACGGAGCTGGCTTCCCTCAAGGCCGTCTACAAGCAGGAGCGCGAGCGCAGCTTCGCCTTGGAGAAGAAGGTGCGCATTCACGAGAGCTCCATCGACGTGCTGAACAATACGCTGACCAAGCGCGACAGGCAGATCGAGGAGCTGACATTCAAGCTGAATGAGAAGGAGAATCTCCTGACCCAAACGGAGCACGAGAAGGAGAAGCAGAAGAAAAAGTTCAGCTCCAAAATGGCCGTGGAGTCGGATAAGAACAAGCGGGAGCTCGAGATAAAGCTCCGTCAGCAACGGGAGAAACTGCATGAACGGATGCGCATCAAGGACGAGAAACTTCGCCTGGTTTCGAATATCATACGATCCGAGGATCTGCCGAGCATGCCGCGCTCGCAGAGCTCGGAAGATTTACTCAACGAGAAGGATCGCGGCCCATTCACAGCTCGAACGGAGTCATCTGTGCCGGCCACGCGAACAGACATCTATGCCACGCCCCGACATGTAAGCCAGTACTTATCCTTCCGCTCTGTGAACTTTAATCTAGTATCTATTCGCATTCCCACCCCTCCCAACCAGGGCGTGGCAGCTGCCAACAATCGCCATCGACGGTCGCGTTCAGCTGGCGACAAATGGCTGGAGCATCGTGCAGCCAATCCCGTGCCACTCGGCACTATTATGCAGCCCTTTCTGAAGAATCGCAAGTCGGTTACCAAGCTGACGGACATGAAGACGCTGACCGAACACGGCGCCAACAAATACTGTCTCGTCTCCCAGGAGGCCGACACGGACGGGGATGTGGAGACGAAACTGTACAAGGGCAATGTTATACCCACATGTGGCGGCGGCGCCCAGGTGGTGTTCAACGATATCGAGTGTCTCAAGCAGAAGTCGCCCGTGCATTCGCCAACGCGAAAGCGTCCCAGCAATGGCACGATGTCGGCTCTGGGCGTTGCCAGCGCCCTGCCCAGCACGGTCACCTCCATCACCGTCCAGGATGTGGCCTCGCGTTGCAACCTCGGCATCGAGGGGCACAGCAACAAGAAGACAAAGATCTAGAGCTCGTCCTGTAATTCTTGAACATGCATTTCCATTTCCATTTAGTTTTACTTTTTTTTTCTAGTTAACGTAACTACTAAAATTATTGATTACTAGCCTTTAAAGTTGAAAAGTTAAAGTTAACTGCAATTAAAACCAAGTAAATAATCTGTATAAATATTCGCACATCGATGAATTCTAAACCTCGCAACTGAACTTATTGCTGTGGGAGCACACACCAGTGGAAGGAGTGCGAAGAGTGCGTCCATTCATAGGTTTATAATAAATAGTTGTACTGCAAAGTATTCAATATTTCTCGTATGCATATCCCTTGCTATGCCCCTTGATTATTATATGAACAATTAAAGTAGAAGAAGCAAATATACATATGTATTATGCTGGTATTAACTATTATTTTTTTTTATTGTTATTCCTGCGTTTATTCAATGCTTAAACCGATAGAATTTATTGAAATACATACGGTACCGTTTTACACATACATATTTGTAGATTAA